TACAATGGGTTCGCGGTGCTCGGTCAGAAAGTTGGCGGGAACTGAATCGCGGCCAGCGACGAATGTCAGTTAAACGAGCAAATAGCCAAAAATAAACACACAAACGGGACATCTGCATCGGCGTGGCGAGTAGACATGCACCCATCATATATATATTTGCCATATATGCATACATACATACACATACTTATATATATATATATATACATATATACATATATATATGAATATGTAAAGCCGGCGGCGAGCCAGGAAGCGCACACACAGAGACGACCTCACCATGCACATCCTGCCATATCCTGTTGCATGGCTGATATGCTCTGGTAATTGGTATTGTTTGCCCGAACGCGTGGCCACAGCCGGACAGTGTTGCCACACACACACACTCACATACACGGTCACATACACAACTCTCATGCACATTTGCACCTTGACGCCAGATAAAAAAAATACACATGAAAACCAATGTCATGTAAACAGGCCGCAAGTGGGGCAACTGTGCCAGAAGTGGCTGAGTGAAAGAGAGAGGAAGAGAAAGAGAAAGAGAGACAGAGAGAGAGAGATAGAGAAAGGTTGTGGGTAAAGCAACTAGCCACTATTAATTTTTCGTTATAAACAAGCTTAAAATGAGATACTATTGTACAAAGTTGGAAGCTGATAAAAAATAAGACAGAAAATTACGTTTGGCGAAAGCATATCATTAATTTTGCCAGAAATAAATACTAACTTACTTCAATTCAATTAAATTAATCAAAAAAGTATGCAATATAAATGCATAAAAAGAGTCATTGTAAAAAAGTTACTTATGGTAAGCAGGAACATTTTGGTTTTGAGCTATGCTTCAGACTTGGATTAAAATAAACTCACATTTAGCCCAAATACATAATCAATATGTTAGGCAATTGCAAATTTATAAAAATGGTTAGAGCTACGAATCAAAAAACAACCTTTAGATGTTCAAAGACTTTATGATCTGACGTGCATTGCTTAAAGTTAAAAATTCTCAAAAACCTGAATTCAATTAAATATTTAATGCAAAGAATATTCTAATAAAAATCATGGAAAATGTACCTTACTCGGCATACAAGACTCTATACTCGATATCTAAACTACGTTTTTAGTAAGTTTCAAGGTACTACATACCAATAAAATGAATTACACAAACTAGAGTCAGAGTCGAACAACTTGTTTTTTAAATATATAAAAGCAGCTTGTAATGTAAGTTATGTACTCCAAAGTTATGTACTCCTTGAAGATTTTAACGGTCATAAATTTTTCTTTTGATATATAAAGCAGAGCACAGCTATATGAAGTAAATGTTTAATTTATAAATGCACCTTAAACTAACTATAGTTTGGACTTCAACTACAATCTGTAGCTGGAATTTATGCACATTGAGAATAGCCAATGCTCTATCTATGCCCCAATCTTGAAACAAAACCAAATCCAACAAAAACTTAGCCACAACACAACACGTTAACTGGGAAAAGCAATTCAACTTTCACGTTCGCATTGTTTGCACAAGCACGAAAAGTTATTAAGATACATAGACGTGATTTTGCATGTTAAGACAACTAAAAAACAAGCAAAAGCGAAGACAAAGATGCTGATACTCCAGCTCATGCCGCGTATAAATATGTTTATATAGATGGATAGTTAGTAAGTTCGCGTGCACTTTAAGCGCTTTTAATGTGATAAGCTAAAATTTCCATTAGCGCGTCGGTAGAAAAAGAACTCCTGATTTCAGCAATTCCGTGAATCCCTCAGCCTCGCCCTCAGACACAAGCTCCAAAATGAGCAACTGCTGCTCGTTGCTATCTCATTGACATGCCTGACAAGAATTGAATTAAAAGTTTTTGTGTAGCGCTTTTCTAAGGACCAGCTGGAAAAATGAAAAATGCGCCGCTTTTCAATTTTCAGTGTGACCAAAAGTTTTGGCCTCGAAACGCGCATTTAAATTGATTTGTAATTCGCGGTTAATTCAGTTGACGGCCCTCCCCCCGCTCACCATTCTGACATCCCGCGTTGGTCAATGCGAGTATTTTTATTCAGTTTTCGCCGTGTTGGTTTTTCCCGTGTTCATATTATTAATGTAATTTGACACTGAATGCCTGACAGCTGCCGCAATTTTTTAAACTTTTTTTTTTCATTTCTTTTGCATGGCAAATGGGCGCTTAATTGATAATCCGTGGGTGCGGGGTTGTGGCGGAATACGTTTCTCATTGTATAAATTAAATATTGATTTAATTGTTGACTTGTCACAAAATCATGATATGCATATTTAAAAACAATCGACATGCGGTTTGTCTAGAAGCTGTTAAGCACGTACGAATTGTATTCACATTATTTTGGGGGATTAAAAAATAGAATGAAATGTCATTAGAAAATAAATTGACTGGTGCACACTTTCGCTTAACAATTAAAAAAATTAAATAAATATGTCTCTTTTATAAGAATATTTTTGGATTATTTAACTTACCGGTACAAGGCATCCATTGCATTACATCAGTCTGAAAGATGTATAAAATAATTAAACTACATTTAGTATTTAATTAAATCTTTGTCGATTTCAAAAAATTATTTACACAGAAATACACATGCATGCATGAAATATTATAGTTGTATTTCCCAGAGTACGTTATGTAAATTACAATTTATATTCAGTATTAAATATTGCTACTAAAATTCACTAAAACATTTGTAAAATAAATATATAAAACTAATCGCACAAAAAGCGATTTTAAATTTCTAGCAATTATGTATTAATAAAAAAATGATTTTAATTCCTGTCAGTTAATTATTAGTTTTTTTTTTATACCCTGTAGCCATTTAAAAAAGCGGAAAAAGGATAAAATGGTTCTGTGCAAATTTAGATGGAAGCGTCTGTGTTCCAATGAAGTATATGTTCATGTCGATCTAGCAAATCTCTGGTCGGAGTCACCAAATTTGACATGTATAGACATGCATAGTAGAGTAGTAAAAATAAACTCCCTTTCATCTGCATTTGGTGTTGGTAAAAAAGCCAAGGGTATCCGCTAGTCAGGCACTCTAGACTAAAGCACTCTTACTTGTTTTACATAATTATTGTGAATAAAAAATAGCTATGAAAGCAAAGTTGTCCTAGGGAATATGTTGCAGAACTCTTAACTCTTTCCTAATTGACTTCCTATCAAAACTGTGCTTCGATGAAATATCGACTGGTGTATCAGCTCAGTCTTAATAACCGCAACATAAATAAATCTTTAAAATGTTTGCTTCTTTGCTAGCGCCCAACAGACGGCTACAGTTTTTGCAAAGCCTCGAATTATGTTCTTGGCGATGTTTTTGCTGTTGCTGTTGATGTTGTTGCTGTTGTTGCCGTTGATGTTGCTGTTGCAGTCAGGCATTTAATTGATTGATTGCCGTTCGTCTATGTCTGCATCGATTTGCCTGCCGTGATACCACATTGCCCACCCAAACAGGCTCAACCCACACTCGCTGCAGTCGTTTCATAACCAATGGATTTTCCCTCCGCCTGCCGTTATCAAATCGACTTCGTGGACCCACATAACTGCCATTGTTGTTGTTATTGTTGTTGCTGTTACTGCCAATTAGTGTTGGCGCGTCATGTGTGTGTGTGTGTGTGTGTGTGTGTGTGTGTGTGTGTGTGTGTGTGTGTGTGTGTGTGTGTGTGTGTGTGTGTGTGTGTGTGTGTGTGTGTGTGTGTGTGTGTGCGTGAAAGTGTGTGTGTTTGTTCGTGTGGGTGCGTCATCAATTAATTTTTGTATTGTTGTTTTTCTTTTTTGGCAGAAAATGTTGCATTTTCTCTGAGTTTTGGTGTTGGGGCTAGGCGCCATGGAGCAGGGTGCCGAGAACAGGGATCAGGGGACAAGGGACACTATGGACAGCGTTATGCGGCATATCGGTTGTATTTTCAGAGGTAACCATGTTGACTGATTGGTTTTTCGATTCAATTGTTTGCTTGTTTTTGATGGCAATGTGCTCTAAACTTAGTTTTGTGTTATGTGTTTACCCTAAGAGCTGCTGAATTTATATAACTGCCTACATAAATGGGTTATGGTGTCCATCGAGCTATGTGTATACTCTTGTTAAATCAATGATTTAACAATTAGAAGTTGTCAGACATATGATTTATTGTTATTATTTTAAAATTTAAATTCTTTTAATTGCATTTGCAATTCTTACCCAAAGTTCTTACATTTTCAACCCAACTTCTAATAACGTATATATTTCTCTGTATAATTTAAAGGATCTTAAAGAAAAAGTCGTTCTCAATAATTATATATAGCCACGCAATTTCCAAGAATTGTAATATCAAAACATTTCGAAACTTAGAGAAAAGTGTATATATATTTGATTTGGTTTTAAGAGCCTCAAATCTAATAAAAAATATCGGTTTTTTTCAAAGGGGGTCACTATAACTTAAATTCTACTGCATAGTGTTCATTACAATTATTTGGATTATTATAATAATAATAATTATTATCATTATTATTATTATTATTATTATTATTATTATTATTATTATTATTATTATTATTATTATTATTATTATTATTATTATTATTATTATTATCATTATTATTATTATTATTATTATTATTATTATTATTATTATTATTATTATTATTATTATTATTATTATTATTATTATTAATATTATTATTATTATTATTATTATTATTATTATTATTATTATTATTATTATTATATATCCTTTTGTTAATATTACTGTTATTTTATATTATTTAGCAAGCACTGGCGCTAGCCTAAAACCCCACTATTCAGTCAGGTCATTTAGACTACTCTTTCATCAAGGTTGGCCTTCATTAATTGATTATACCATTATAGTTATTGGATTTAATGGCATGTACATAAATCAAGTAAAACAAATAAGTATAACTAATAAATCTAATCGCAATTAACCCATGAAATAGATCCAGGCGTATATAATCCGTCTGACATGATAGTTGGAAAATCAGTTTCGATTTTATTCCTTAAGCGAACATTCGTCATTAAAAATGTGGAAAAAAGTGGTAACCGCTCTATTTCTGTGGACTTTCACGGCTGTCCAGCATGGTGAGAGCTTGGAGTATAATTACAGGGATTTTCTCAATAAAGTCCACAAATTTAGGTAATGCGCTGACCTGTTACAGCTGCGATTCTGTCGAGTCCTGTCGCAACGCCAACACCCAAGAGTGCAGCAATGAAACAGCCTTGGAAAACAATGCGATATTGAGCACCATTTTCCAGGATCTGCCGTATGTTAATAACATCAGCAATTTCGAGTGCTTCAACCTCACTTATATATGTAAGTCACAATCGTTGTTGGATTTTGTTAAAAATATTCTAAGTAAGCTTTCACTCACAGCCAATCAAACTTTGACTGAACTACGTGGCTGTATTTTCCCGGAAGTCAAAGTCTGCGATCAGTTCCCATTGACGTCCTACTTCGGCTACAACTTTTGCTACACCTGTAATTGGAACTATTGCAATCGAAATCCAGCGGGCACTTTTAGCAAGAGCACCTTTACCATTATAGCCTCAGCTATAACTCTGATCTTTACCAAACGGTTGCGTTAGCATAGCTAACGGTATAGCTGAACTGTCATAAATCTACATATCGATTAGTTTCAATGCTGATGTATGTCAAAGTTGATCGATTGAACTGTTAAATAAAACAAAATCTCTATATATATGCTACTGTTTCTGCTGACTTGAGACTTTTATGTTAACCATGGAGATCAAAGGTGAACGCGATAGTACAATTTTTAACTATAAAATATGTACGTAAATTACACAGTTTTTCGGTTGCGAAATGGATGTAGCCCAGTAACCCAGAATCAATAGAATCAACTATGAGTTTCTATTTGGTGTTATCTAAGCAAAATAAATTTCTAAGAAAATGTTATATTATCTTTTATTTCATGTTTATTTTTGGACGCCTATGGAATATTCATTCAGATCTAACAATATAAACGGACTACAATAAGTAAAATACTCCTCACTTTTTCGTATACAAAGATAGCTCCTGTCTAGTATGTCAAAAATTATTAACTATCAGCAAAACTACCGATTATGAAATCTTATCATATTCATTTAAAATCGCACGCCTGTTTTTTGATACACTCGGGTGTAGACATACATTTTTTAACCCATTCTCCGGGTAATAAGACTGTAGCAGCTCGTATTTCTTAAAAATCAGTTTGTAGCTAAAAATGTAATTAGCGCTCATACAAACTTTAACTCATATTTGCCTTCCGACAGTGGATTTTCCAAAAGGCGTGAAACGCAAACACCTCATTAGAAAACTACATTAAGGAAAACATTTCAGACCAGACAGCCAACAAGCCAGCCCGATTTAAAAATCACCCAGCTAGACATCCATAAGAAACGACAACAACTGCAGAATTGGAACACTTATCAATAAAACGTTGTCCATATGATAAGGCGTAGCTCCTATACACACACGATGTCATGCTATAGACAAAATTGCTAGCTAATTCTTGCCAATACAAATAAAAAATATAAACAAAAAAAAAATAAAAGTTAGACATCATATAATATTAGAAAAAATAAGTAGCATGTATCTATTAGCTGGCTTAAACAATGTTTTATTCAATATATATAGATTGCCGGGAAAAATATTTAGCAAGTGTATTTGCAATTCGAAATAGATAGACATTACAACTTTATGCTATACTTTGAATTGCCGCTCGCATTCCGTTAAGATAAGCTTCTTGATAAACCAACCCATGTTATTAAATAATGCCTAATATAAAACCACTCACTATAAGCAAAGTCAGTTCAGTTGCAAACATAAGGTGCCCGAAAGATCTTCACAAGTCTACAGAATGTATATGAAAACGTTGATTATAAGTGTAGTGATTGCTCTCACCTGCGTGCAGTTGGGTGAGTAAATTGATTTATGAAGATATGTTTCTGGAACTAACTAATGGAAGCTATCCAATAAAGCCAACTCCTTGACGTGTTACACCTGCACTAGCGCAGTTGATTGCAAAAAACCAAGGAAAACCACTTGCTCCAATGCTGCTGCCAGTGAGACGAGCAGCTTTTTAGAAGTTTATCATCAGAATGTGCGCAATCTAAGTAGCTACAGATTCGATTGTCTTGCTCTTAGGTATACCTATGCGAATAGTGAGTACATGTGAATGCCAGTGTTTATGCAGCAGAATTTATATTTCATATTGTACTTATCAATGCAGATAACTCAGTGGTTCATCAGTTACATGGTTGTGTTCATCCAGATGTGGGCGCCTGCACTTTGGCACTTAAGCCCCAATATGCATATAGCTGGAATAAGGCAAGGTGCACCATCTGCTCTGGCAACAAGTGCAACAAGAATCCAGCTGCCAAGCTGAGCAGCAGTGTCTACACAATTGCGGCCACAGTGATGTCTCTAATGCTGGCCAAGATCTATGCTTAAAGTAGTGGATATACTTAGCGGCACAAGGTCTAATATTCTATAGCCTATTACTCCATTTGTCAATATTCTATAGAATTAGCCTGAACCATCTCACAACTGGCTTATCAAGTGTTAAATATTTTCGTCGACTGTTCGATAAGATTATGCGGCTGCGGACCCAAATACTGAAGTCGAATAAAACTCTCTTCGGTTAAATGATTTCACAATAGTGAGTAATCCGGTTATCAATATTTTGATTAGGGGGTTCCTTTTAAATTCTTTACAATTTAAGAGGTACCTCTAAGAGTTAAAGAAAAATTATTGCTTAACAACAGCAAATAAACTTTGTAAATCATAAACAACAAAGCAACAAAAAGGCTTAAATTAAAATTCAATTAATTTGAAAAATAAGTTCTTGTGACGGGTTAAACGACATTAAATCAAGTATATTTGAATGCAACTAATTTTGTACACATTGAATACCCATTTGATGAGAAATCGCTGTATGTTAATTATTTATTTTGAAGAGACTCAAGTAGATTTAATAATCGAACTTTCATTTTTTTTATCCACTTGCTACTTATTGCTGAAACATAAAAATTATACATATTAAAGCAGTTTGTAGAATGTAACTCCCTTACTCACATAAGCTTTCAAGCAAACAAACTCCTTGAATCACAATCAATAGGAACAGAATACATCGCTTGAGCATGTTGTGCATCTGAGATTTCAGCTACAACTAATTGAAGGCTGTGGATATCTAATTTTATATTGTTTGCCACTTTGTGCTTTGTCTATTTATTCAAATGTCTATGTAATAGAGCTGGTTGAATAGAAGATAGCTTTTCATAAATATAACAGAACAGAACCGAACTTCTGGGAAATCTTGGATATGTTTAAACTGCAATTGCAGGCTTATCACCCATTGATAATGGCTAAAGAGGGTATAATAGTTTTATGCAAGCGTATGTAGCAGGCAAATGGAAGCAATTCCGATCTCATAAAACAAATCGATAACGGTATCCGGTTTATTGAGCAAATCTTTTAGGTTTTAAGAATTAGATTCACCAAACACATCATGTAACTTTTAGTGTAGTATATACATATAAGTATCTTTTCTTTTTATTTATTTTTCCTAATGCTAGCATATCCCTTTACCTATTAAATAGGTAACATAAAATGGAAAGCTCAGGCAAGCTAGTGCTTAGCATGATTTACATTTGGTGTCGATAAAAGATCGTAATAGCGGCGTATTGTTACCATTGAGGCTAGGGGAGTATTGAATTTTAATAAATAAAATAAAAGTTAGACTGCTCTAGTCGGGAGTTGCCGACTAGGGAATACCCTGAACCATATTTTCCGCAACGACAAATAAAAAAAAAAAAACAATAACCCTCATCTGGAGTCGAGCTCGACGAAAAATAAAGAACGAACTATAAACACCGAAGCTATCGAGAAATGCATTTTCCAGACATGCTATGGGGCTAGAAACCAGCTTACCCCTGAGTTGAAGGTATCTTCTAAAGCTTAAAATTGTAGATTGGAGATCAGATAATAACCGATCTATTTTAAGACTATTTAAAATTATAAAACGGGAACTTTATGCTGCTTTATCAGTTTCGTTCTTATCCATTTATTTCAATGCTTTACAATAATTATGGAAGTGTTTATATTGTTCAAATAAACAAATATGCATTGTGCAGGGTCATAGCTGAACCCATAATGGGAAAGATGATCTTGCTTGAAATTGCCGCCGGGTGGCAATTGCATTTCTTTCTTATCGCGATTGCGGCAGGTTGCGGCCCAACTACTGCTGTTGTTTGCGTTCAGGTTTTACGTAATTAATTTAATTTTCTATTCAAATGCAATTCTTATTTAAACTATAAGCCCATATAAGCCGTAAGTATTGGACAATAAATGAGTTTCGTCCACATTTGAACAGCAATTTTGAACTAATCGATCTTGGCACCACCAGAACTATTTTTTTTAACAATTATATACTATACATTGGAGATAGTCATCATTTATACGCCCAATAAAAATAAGATAACGCTATCAATACTTTGTTGTGGGTTGACTAATCAAAGATAAAAAGGGCTGGACATTCTAGCCGAATAATTAAACCTCTACCCACTGAATTTGAACTAAATGAATAAACCAAACAAATAGCTTAGGCTGATTTTACTCGAAGCGCGTTAGCCAAACTATATTATTTACAAAAAAGAAAAGAAAAGAGTGAAAGGAATCAAATACGAAAAATACTTAGTTATCTAAGATTGGTAAATAATTAAAATATTATTGCCCGTCTGCAATCTGCCTGCAAAATATGTAGTATGAAAATCAACTTTATATGCACAATTCCTTGCAACACTGATCACTGATCAGAATAATTGTTAACCAGAAAGGTCTGCAGAATCATGTGCTTTTGATACAACTTTCAATAAATATCAAAAGATGTTTCTATTAAATTTGTACACCAATTTCTACATCCAACCTTAAGCTTTTTTTCCAAAGCGAGTTTTACAGATAAATATAAAGCGAGCAAATTAATGAATTGACACCGAGTACATGTATTTGAATATGGCAACTGTTTGGACTTTATTTATCTGCACAATATAACATCCTTCGCAGGCCCATTTATGTTCTCCTCCTAAGGAGATAGGTCAAGTAGACTCCTCTTTACTCTGTTCCTCCTTTACCAAACAGTTTTTTGAAAATCACAATATGTTAATTAAAATGTTATGGGTTCGATTAATAAATATATGCATTCTGTAATTTCTACAACTTCTATACGGTAAATTTGACCAAGATCAGAGTAATAGCTGAAGCCAAAATGGTATAGGTGCTTTTGCTAAAAGTGGCTGCAGGATTGCGATTGCATTTGTCCCAATCACAGGTGCTGCAGCCCTTACTCCAGGTATTGCCCTGAGTTGCATTAACGTTCAGTTGACACACCGAAATTGCGGGATGATAGCAGCCCAGATATTCATGAGTCTTGCTTAGGTCTGTAAGTCAAATAAGTAGTAGAAACAGCCCAAAAGACACCTTTGCAAATTATAACATACTTGCTTGATAGTAATAGGTGAGGTTCATGCACTTGAAGCTATTGCTCCCATTCACGGTGGGCACATTACTGTGGATGGTGTTCAACCAGCGGCTGGTGGCGTCGGCTGTTGCATTACTGCAGACTTGGGTGCTGGGATTGCGACAGTCGTCGGGTGAGACGCAACTGTAGCAGGTAAGGCTGTTTACTGATGGGTTTTATGTGATTAGTGAATTCCGTGATTCGAGCACAGATCATGTTTAACTCTCACCAAACTGTAGGCTTGCAAAGGCTGCTAGCACTAGACCAAAAATAAGCTTCGTCCACATTTTGTTTAACACTACTTGCAACTAATCGAGGCACTGACCAACTAAACTGCTCGAGCCATTATCAGGTGTATTTTGTAGGTACTTCACCCACATATATGTAACGCAAAGGCACATTTCACAAGATAATAAAGATTAGGTGTGCTATTTGGTTAATCGATAAGCCAAGGCAAATAAAACAGTGACACAACATCCCCAGCTATAAAATACTCTACATGGGTACTTTAAAATAAGCAACTAATATGAGATATTTATAAACTCAATATATATAAACAGTAAGGCACTTTCAAAGTTTTAAATTACACAATGTTATAAAAATGTAAATGCAAATATTTACAATAATTTCAATTTTTATTTAAACACATTAATGTATCTTGAATTTGAACAGTAAACATCATTTTTTTATTATATGTACTATATAATATCAAAAAATATATATATAGTTGTGGGCTGGTAAAACAAAGCTACAAAAATAAGCATGTAAAAATCATAGGTGTGCTATATAACCGATAAGCTTTTTTTAGCATCCATCATTACATCGGAAAACTAATTATTAACGAATTCATGACAAAACTTCCGCAAGAATACAAAAAAAATTTATTTTGTATAAGTTATATATATTTATATGAACAGTAAACTGCATCCTCTAAACTTTTCACCCCTATTTACACCAAGGAGAAAAAGTGCGAATCACTATATTTTTTAATAGAATTGAAATAAGGTATTTTTATGTATCTTAAGATGAGTTTAAAGCTGCTAACTGATAGTTAATAAGTAATTTTATCTAAAATTAAATGTACCGTGGAGTTATGTGTTAACATAATTGAGGGAACTAAAAAGAAATAAATAAGGATTCACATATATACCAATCTATCCTTTAGATAGCTCGTTTTGAATTATATTGAAGTTCATATGAGGAGGCAAAAGAAAACTACATAGATTAAATCAAATATTTTGTAGCTTTCACAAATAATTGACCAATAGAAAACAAATACGATATGCAAATAAATTTACTATCAAAGATACTATTGACGAAAAAAAAAAATTTCCAATTGCAAACACGTCTTAATGTCTAAGCCCAGCCCAACGCATTTGTCATAACAAATAAACAAAGAGAAAAGGAATAAAACAAAAATAGGAACGGGGGACAATGTTTCAAAAATTGAAAAGCATATATCAGCATCCTGGCCATTGCCAGGACATGTCACGCATAACTAAATACAAAAGAAAAAGGAGAGAGCCACAGAAACAGTTGCAGGATACGAAAAACAACACGAAGCATAAGCTTCTGTCAAGGATACGTAAGGGATATTAAATGACAGGACAAATGGCAAATGCCCCACTACATAGCCCAGTCCCTCTCCATGTCCCTGGTCATGCCCATTGCCCAGCCTCCAACTGCGACAGAGTGGCAGGTACTCGAAGGTAAACGAAAAGCGCAAATCCTGTGAACAATAACAGGAGACAAACAACAAATGGCTGCGGGTTAGATTTATAAAAATATGTTTGTGTGCATGTATATATATTTCATGTGTACGACAATAGGTAAACAACAAAATTACAATATGCTTTTTTAAAAATTAGAAAAACAACGTGCAACAGTCAAGGCGAGGCGAGGCAAGGCAAGCCACTCGCCTGACAGGACAATAATATTGTGATGCCCACGATAAGCAACTCCGACTGGGTAAGGATTGGGAAGTGGGGGATTCAAGGCGGCAACCCAAAGATAAACATAAGCACAGACATGAGACGGGCGGAAAAAAATCGCTGGGGCGCTTTTGCCTGGCTGACAGTTGAGTTACATTTTTGGGTAGGACGTATTGTGGCGTGGCAGATACACGTTGCAACAAACACGAGTGCTATGCGAGCCTTGTCGTTGTCTTGTACTGCGAAACTAGCTAGATGCCTTGTGCATTGCATTAATTTTCAGGTCACGTATCCTTTTTAATCCTGACAAGAATATTATTTCCATAAAAAATGGCACGCAGCTAGCGTAAGCGCGCGGCCTCCACGGGCGGCATCATCTACGAAATCGTTTCGAGCATCAAGCATACGACACGTATGCCACAGCCGAATCATAGACAAGCAGCAGGCAGAGCGACATGTGTATTTAATTTTATTTCAAATATATCCTGCACACAAACATATATTCGAATTAAAGCATTAACAGGACGGCCTAGTGATAGCTTAAAGCTCAGCGAGTAACTTAGGGCAGCGATTGTCAACGCTGCGTATGCGTAATGTGCGACACTTGCGGCTTAAAGGCTATTGTGTGTATTGTGTGGCAATACGGCAACAGTTACAACACATCCTTGTTTCTCGTTGTTGAATAAGCTACAAATGGCTGCTGAGAGAACGGGCGAACACTGACTTTAATTTGTAGTAGCAGGCATATTTTCCAAGAGCTGCAAGCTTAGGGTTGCGCCATTCAACATTACATTAGTTATTAATATTAAAATAATTTTAGTACTTAGCATACATACACGATCGTATGAAATCGATGTAGCAGTTAAGCAATAAAATATATCATCAATTGTTCGTAGAAGAGGAAAATAGTTAATATTAATCTTTCGAATATAAAACAAGTAAGAGGTCCTAGTCGGGAGCTCCCGACTAGGGGATACCCTGAACCCTCTTCTTCCAACATCAAATGCATATATATATTCTATATTAGAAGCTATATGTCAAGTTTGGTGACTCTAGCTCTTATTATTTACCAAAATTGCCCAAAAACAGGATATCGATATCGATTTTTATCGATTGCGTGGAAACGGAGTAAGTTATCGATTATCGGAAACAAACTCGATCTGCGCGGGAACTAGGAGCACCTATATCTAAAATTTCAAGTCTCCAGCTCTTATAGGTTCTGAGATCCTTGCGTTCATACATACGGACAGACGGACGGACGGACGGCCGGACAGACAGACGGACATGGCTAAATCGCCTCGGCTATTTATGCTGACCAAGAATATATATACTTTATGGGGTCGGAGATGCTTCCTTCTGCCTGTTACATACATTTGGCTTTCGCACAAATACAATATACCCTTATACCCATTTTTAATGGGTTCAGGGTATAAAAACGATCAATCTAAAGATTCAAAAAATTTTGAACAACTTAAGCAGTATTGCTTTTTGACTTGACATGTAAAGGAAATGGACTTTTGTCATCCACTGTAGTTGCTTATGAGCAATGCACGCGTATAATGTATATATTGATAAAAGATATATATAATTTTATCAAAACAAAGTCAAATTGTTTGTACTTAAAGCCAGCTATAAGAGATTTTTCCTTGTGTGACTGACTACCAGACAAATTAACTACAACGAGTATCGAGTTGTGGCCGTACTTAAGCCGCTGCCTGCTGCTGTCTTAAGTTTTAGTGGCCTCTTGTATCCTCTACGGCATTGTCAAGGATTGCTCTATATTCCAAAGGACATAGAAAATATAAAATTTGTTTGTTTTCTGCATTGATGTTGAAAGTTTTTGCAGCTGTTGCAGACAATGCACGAGTCTTCGTCTTCGTTTTTCCTCTCCACATCTAACCATGGCATACTGGCTGGCTTATTATTACAGTTTGTCGATTTGTTTGTATTGCAGTCGACATTGTTGTTCTGTCACAGCAACAGGGGCAACAACAATAAAGTTGTGTGTTGCACAGGCACACAGGCGCGTGTGTGTGTGTGTGCATACCCAGCTGGCCAAGTGGCAGGAACCAATCGATTGTGATAAATTATTTGCAGCTATTGTGATTTGTAATGTTGGCAAATGTTTGACAAAAAACGGAAGCCCTATCAACAGCTACCCATTCGATAATGCCAAAGTTTGGCTTTCAAATTTTGAAGAAAAAAAAACATATTAATGCTGTAAACTGATCTAACCAACCCATTAGAAACTGAGATTGATCAACAAAGGTTAAAAGTTTATCTCATACAGCTATATCGAAGAGTCAAAGAAAAAATTAATACTTAGGTGAGTAACGCCCATCCCTTTGTATGCGACGCATAATTTCTAGTGTGGCTTTTCAAGTGGCTTTTCGCACACAAACCGAATGGGTTTTCACCAGCAAAAGCCACACGAATGAATGCCAAAGTCGCGGCTTGGTGAAGTTGACACGAACTACATAGTTAGTCGCAAGCCTGTCTTCAGCGAAGCTGGTCGATGACGATCTGCGACGATTTAATGACCAATGCAAAACTATATTAAGCTCTACGAGGGTATAAAAAGCTTCGTTCTTACGATCGACGCCTTATGCATGATATAGTAAAAAATATTACCCTAAATACTATAGCGAAATTGTAAAGGAAAATTTTAAAATATAATCATTGTATATGCAATATCGACCGAAAGTTGATATTGATCACTGATCTATATACTTTATAGGTTATCAAGATAATTCGGAAGACTGTTCGCGTAGTTTCTTGTTTTCGATTTTTAATATACCCTGTTACAGACAGAAACTACAAAAACCTCAGAATTCAAATTTGAAAAATACCATGGCAAAATTATAATTTTTCGTCGATATCTCGTCGCATTTCTAAACATCGATAATCGTCGATTTCGAACTTGTTTTTTTTTTTTTAAATAATTTAACAACTAAAATTAACCAAGTGTATATTAACACACTTTTTGCCATAACTTCTGACTATAAACATTGAATCTATTCTAAAACACTTTCCCCGAACTTTGTATGTGACTAAATGTTTTTTATGGCAGCTTGGAGCTATGTTCAGGGTATTCATATATTACATTCTTGGTGGAGAAATTTCTTATCGCAGCTTATAAACTATTTCCAGGTAGTTCTCATATTTTTTCAGTATACGTTCGAGGCTGAAAAAGACATGACTGCAATTCAATTAAATAAGCTTGTTTTCGAAGGGGTTAGACTATCTAGTAAATATGTAAAAAGGTTAATTTTTGAAAAATAGCACAAATCATTTAGAAAATTGGAGGAGGCTGGTATGGTCTTATCCGGAAAGGAGCATATAATGGCAACGTGGTAGCTATTAAAACCATTAGAGGGAATATTGAAACAGAGGACATTAAATGTGAAGTCAAGTACTGGTCGATGTTAAAACACAAGAACATCATTAAATTAATTGGGACAGCGATCGACAAATATGAGACCCACTTGGTTATGGAATATGCAGAAGGCGGAACACTGGGCGCCTTTTTGCATACAAGCAATACACCATATACAATTGCAGAAGGTATAAGCTGGCTACGTCAGGCTGCGGAGGTATATGGTACATATGTGTATTAATCACATTGCATGTAAACTTTCATTACTCATGTTCGTTTTAAAGGGACTCGTGTATCTACATGGACTATCAGAGAATTCAGGGATTCATCGTGATGTGAAGCCCCACAATATGTTGTTGGACGGTACAAGAAAGACATTGAAAATTTGCGATTTTGGGTTTGTGAGAAATTTGCAATCCCAAATGACAATCATATTGGCATATATACTAAACATTTCAATTAACGCACCTCACGACACACAGGTTTTTAATGGTCAGCGATACACTGAGAAATGTGATGTATATAGCATGGGCATTACAATCTGGGAAGTTCTGTCGCGTAAGATACCATACTATGAACAACACAATCTTGGACATGTTCAACTCTTAAGTCTAATTGATCACGGTATGTTCAAAAGTTATATGCGTATTAATGCATGTATGTATGCATTAACATTAACATATCAATTAATGCAGATCTACGGCCCTCACTAAATGATTTGATTTTTGAGTGTCCCGAGCAAATAAAAATTCTGATGCTAGAATGCTGGGATAAGAGCCCCAAAAAGCGTCCCTCTATGAAGGGCATTTTGGACATCTTGATATCAAATGAATAAAATGTGAAGTGAGTTGGAGTGAAGCGGATATTGATTAGAACTTCACTATTCTCGACCGTTTTGGGCTGGACTGGAATGCTGCCAAGTTACATTTAACCAGTGCGTGTTGTAAACACACGGCCCGCCCCATCTCAACTCATAACGAAATAAATTTGAAATGATTTCTTTCAGTCTAATTGATCAATGTACATAACAAATGAAGAGTACTTTCATTAGCCGAGCCAAAATAATGGAACAGCTGCTCGCATGCTGGACCATCCATTCATCATCTGCACTTCGAGACACTTCTGCGAACAAGTTTCAACTATCGTAATTGACCCGGAAATAGCTTAAAGCCAAATATTTGCACAGCATGTCAGTTGAATGGGTGGGAAATGGAAAGACGTGGGCATCGAGACAGGGGCCATTGCCTGCTCTCAATAACTGCAAGGCATTGCTACAGACAGTCACGCCCACGGCCCCAGAAACACCAATACAAGTACACTTAATGATTGACCCACAGCAAATAGAAGTGCAAAAGATGAAAACAAATATTTCCATAGCATATGCAAAGTGAACAGATACAGATACTGATACGAATATTGGATGCAAATGTAGAAGCGAGTAGGTTATCATAAGTTTCGAGTGTCAACTATCATAGTCCTATTTTTTCAGGCACCCATTCAATTTTGTTCTTCTTTCTCTTTTTTTTCTACTCCACACTAATTGCAGATAAAACGGTCCCAATTGGCGCAAGGCTGCAGCTTCTCAGTTTCACTTCCATTTCCCATTACCAATTCAGTAGTCAGGAGCCAATTGATGGGGCGTGTCGTCAGAGTTTCTTGTGGCTATATTGTCAAAGCATTTAGCGATGCGGTTCGATATGAACACAGAGCAAAGTGTTAAAGAGTGTATGTGTGTGTGTGTGTGTGTGTGTGTGTGTGTGTGTGTGTGTGTGTGTGTGTGTTTGTGCGTGTATGTCTGGACCGTGTCCTGTGACTTGGCTCATTGCTATTTTGCACGTGAACTTGTTAAGAGCAAAAACAACGTGGGCAAGACATGAAACTGCAAATTGAACGCTTATTGCCATGAAAGGCAAGTAAAGGTGCTCGAGTCGGGATTGCCCGACCTGCAGCCAGAGCTGCCGCAACAAAAACACACAAAAAAATGCAATATATCTAACTTTTGCAAAACAGTCTTAAAATCGATATTTATTGAAATTATAAAAATATCAAAATGATAACGCGCTTTTTATATATAGTTGCCCTTTACTAATAATATTTTTGTCATGTCAGGCAAAAAGTTAAGATTGTAATTGATGGGCTCTCACAAAATATATTTGGAAAAACCAAAAAAATGTTGTACGATCGACCTCTTAACTTTTTTTAAACTAATTCCCAAAGCATTATTAACCAAAAAATTAAAATATAAGGTTTTTTAAATTTAGTTTGAAGAATCAAGCATTAATGTAACCAAATTGAACATACCTTACTAAGAGATTGTCGACGTCGTAAATAGTTGGGAGATACCAAATAAATTTATATCGCAGCAAAACATTTGCAACCTTGCCTTTTTAATCGCCTACTGGCCTTTTACATGAACGTATCACTAAAAATAAAAGCGTTGCATAAATTAATGAGAATCTCTTAGAAAGGGGACACTTAATAGAAGGCAATTAAGACAGAAAAGGCGGTAGAGGGACAAGGATAGCAAGAGAGAGAAATAACGGGTAAGAAAAATAAAATTATAGAATAAGTTGGGGAGAGTGAATTACTTAACAGAAAGGACAAATAAAATAAATATGAGAAAAAGTCTAGGACAAATAAACACATATAAATACATATTATTTAGCCAAATGTGAAAATATGCTAAGAGGACGTTAACTACATTTTTTTGAGTTGCGCGCCCTTTAGCGCCTATCATAGCAGAGAACTTGTTGTTGCCTCTCAGCAGTGCTGCCCATTTGCAGTGCTGCCCATTAGCTATTTCAATTTGAATTGTTCAACATATCGAATTGTCTCAATATTTGTTTAGGTCGAGCTAATTTAAACAATTTGAAATTGATTAAACTAATGAAATAGAGGAGAGGCGAGCCACATCGTCCTTATTTTAATGAAGAGCAGTTGCAGTTTAAGAAAATTTGCTTTATTTAAACAAAATTAAACTCCACTAACAGAAACAATCCAATCTCTGACTGCTGCTACTCTGGAATAAACACCTGGATATTCGGGCCTCGCACAGCCAAATCCCCACGAAACGACGCCCCACAGTTTGCCATGGGCAGCCAGCGGACCACCCGAATCCCCTTGGCATGCATCCTTGCCGCCCTCCTGCAGACCCGCGCACAACATACGATCCGTAATATTACCAAAATTATCGTAGGCCAACGTGCACTGCGTCTGATTCACCTTGGGCACGGTAACGGCGCGCAGCACATCCGTCGATTCCTGCGCACTTTGGGTGTTGCCCCAGCCCGTAATAGTGACGGGCGTCCCATCCTCAATATCTTCATTCTGCTTGGGCAACTGCACAAATGCCTGCGTTATATTTGTGGCATTATACTGGGCCAGCTCCAGCAGCGCAAAGTCATAGTCAATAATGCGGGGATCGTATTTGGGATGGCGATGAACGCGCTGGATATCCGCCAGGACCCCGCCGCTATCCTTGCGCGTGGCGCCAATGCGCACCCGAAGGGATTGCACGCTGGCGTTCTCGACACAGTGGGCAGCAGTCAGTGCCCAGCCGTCAGCTATCAACGAGCCGCCACACATGTGATAATTGCGCTGGAGCGAAATTTGATATGGATAATCCTCAATGGTCACCTCAATGCCACCCACAATGCGTCCATCCAGTCGCAGGCGCAGTTGTGGCGCTGTCGGCGGCGGCACAGCCAAGCAGCCGATGCAGGCCAACAGTAGCGGTAGGAGCAGCGTCTTCCGGTTATGCGACATCTTCAGTTCCGAGTGGGTTAATGGTACGCTAACTCAACCGGCGCCGAGCTTATATACGAAGCCAATGGGTTATCAATCGTTTGTTTGTCAGGGTCAATCACACGCGTGTGTATATAGCGAAGGTATCCACTTGGCCTAGTTAATCCGTCGCCGATACTCGTAAAATTTATTACCCACAGACGATGTCGTCGTCATCGACAATGTTATCTAAGAGCCAATTATTTAACTAATATTTTTTTAAGCGAACAATTCAGGGTGTTCTTTATATATTTAACTATCATCAGCACTTAAAGGTTGGAAAAGTGTCCTTAAAAAACAAAGCGGATGGAAAGCTTCACGTCTCAAAATCAGCAAGAGCCCATGTATTCAATTTTAAATATATTTGCCCAAATTGAAATCTAGATAACTTTTTGTTATTTTGTTGACTTTTTGATTTTAAGCCAATAGTTCCAATAGGAGCTATAAGATTTAGTGATTCGAATCAGACAAAAAACTGTTAGTCACAGAAAACGGACCTGAGTTGGGTTTCTTGAAGATTTAAAATTGAGACTTATTTTTAGAAAAATATACACATACATATACTTTGTGACCCCATTTCCTTTTTAAAGTCATCTTTTGAATTATATGTATTGAAACTTGAATATTATTATATCAGAACGCGTTGACATCAAAAATCCTTTTAAGTTTACAAAGCCCTTTGCCTGGCGGTTTTATCACAGGGATGACGGTTGGCACCATTTATCCAAAAGCTTCCAGCTCCAATAGAGATTATGGCAATCGTGCTTGGCTAAATAGATCCTTAGTAGTTGCCCTTAATGACTTTGTGGAACTTGAACTTAATTAATATCTGATTTGCGGATGCAAAAATGTGAGTATCATTGCATTTGGTAACGAGAAGAGAAGCCACTATTCAAAGTATGTTTCTAATGCACTTCAGTCATTACGAATGGATTAAATGGTTTTTTTATATATATGTCCATGTTCAGCCGCCTGTTCGTCTGCTTTCGTTAACTTTAGAAGCCAGTAATAGATTATCGTATTTAATGAGCAGAGTAAATATACCTGCTTCTTACATAGCTCCTGCTATTTTCTTTTTCTGAGATTACACCAAATTTTTAATGCACGTGGAAGTACGGAAGAAAAATATGTTTCACGAAAAGCTGCAAGCATTGGTCTCCCTAGCTTTCATAATGTCCGATGTGTTCAAAAAAGAATGTCTTTGGGACGCAGAAGGAGCGATCGGTCGTTAATTGGATTGTCCTTTTTGTCTTTTAACAACTTGTATCTTCACTTCAGCAAATACGAGCTTCAGTATTACTCTATACCAGCTATATCACTAATATATTATATGCTTGATATAGGATCTCAGTGGGACATAAAAGTTCTGTATAAAATCAGTGCTAAGCTATGGGACTGCAATATTTGACCTTCGGCGTGCCGAATCAATCCAAAATCTAAACGATACAGCTTGGAAGCATTCGAGTTAGATGGACTAGAACAGGAATCTGGTACTTCTGTTCTGTACAAGATTTGATTTGTTGCATAGTTAATAGTTTGCATTTGCTTACAGTTTAAGCCAAGTCAGGAATTTATTGTTGGACGGCATATCGGTCACTCGATCCAACTGCAAACCATTAACAGCCGCCAACTGCTTCAGATCCCTGATATCCCTGATGCCCCACGATGCGTTGCGACGCCTTAAGTCCGCATCAAAGTCAACATTGCTTTGGGGCGTCAACTGGCCATCCTGGGCGTAGGGTCCATAGGTGAACAGTTTGCCGCCAGTCTTTAGCAGCTGGCCGGCAGCACGAAACAGCCCCTCGGAGCAGGCCCATGGACTAATGTGCATCATGTTGCAGTTCAGCATGTAATCGTAGCTGGCAGGCTTCACCTGCTTCACTGTATCCGCTTCCCATAGATGCAGCTCCTGCGAAATGTCAACAAAGAGCGGCGGGCAAATGTTACCCGTGACGCAGTCCGCGGCATAAGCGTTAATTGAGTCGAAATCGTGGCGTGAATATTCCGTTGTTTGAAAACTTATATTCGGTAGCAAAGGCGCCAAAAATCCAGCGTGCTGACCCGAACCAGAGGCAATCTCAAGCAGCCGCAAGTTGGGTGTTTTCTTATCCACCTGCAGGATCAGGGCCTCTGATATCGGCTGGGAATTGCGATCTGCCGATGGATGTGTACGTTTTCTAGCGCTGCAAAGCGTGGACACGTGCAATAAACGTTTAAAAGGTCGTGTGAAACTGTGTTGAGTGATTACTATAAGTTAAATTAGAATTTGTTTAACAATTTACCTCATATTGCTGTGTTGCTTCACTTATGTTATTTAGTTCAGATTCTGGCGTTTCTAGTCTATCGACCAGGGCTGGCGCAACTCGTGAGTGTTAATAGTTGAGCTCTAGCAAGGCACGATTGCAGCATGTCTTACGAATGTACCCAAAATGGTACACAGCATTTATTTTACAAAGCATCTAGACATTACTGCCCTTTAATCCTGGTATTAAATCATTTTCCTAGCACTCGTCAAATAAGAATTATTGCAGTAATATTACTTAAATATTATTTCAATAAATTATTTTAGTTACCAATATATTTCACTCCGACCTTATATTTGAATTTACACTCAACTATCGATATCGCACATCGATAAATGTCATTTTCTTTTCGCAGTGCTGCTTAAACTCTATCGCACGACCGCCACAATTTGCTGTGAGATCCACATATTTTTGCCATTTTTAACAGGCATTGTTTTGTTAAATCCATTTTTGCGCCTAAATAAGCTGCACAATGTCTGATAATGATGATGATTTCATGTGCGACGATGATGAAGATTATGGTCTGGTAAGAATCTCACCAATAAACCTTCTACGAGCGCTGTTCTTGAAACCCGGCATCTACTTCGTTTGCGGCTTCTATTTTAGGAATACTCAGAGGACAGCAACTCGGAGCCGGACGTAGATCTAGAGAATCAGTACTACAACAGCAAGGCACTTAAAGAGATGGAGCCCACAGCAGCGCTCGCCAGTTTTCAAAAGGTGCTCGACTTGGAGAATGGCGAAAAGGGTGAATGGGGCTTCAAGGCACTAAAGCAGATGATAAAAATCAACTTTAGTCTGGTGAGTGGGCAACAGAAGATTCAAGAGAAAAAAGGAAACCCAACAATTAAATCATTTTGATCAACTCTCAGAACAACTACAAGGAAATGATGGTGCGCTACAAGCAGCTGCTCACCTACATTAAAAGCGCTGTCACACGCAACCACTCCGAAAAGAGCATCAACTCCATACTGGATTACATTTCAACGTCCAAGAACGTAAGTGAGAAGCTGGCAAACATATATGTATATGTGTGAGAACTTGCCTTGTGAGGCAGGGCTACATTTGATCTTAATGAGGTTTCATATTTAAGGAGTCAACTTTAACTCCTATACAAAATGCAATGTCTTAGAGAGCATCATACATTTGTCAATATTTAGCTCATAGAAGCAGACATTTCCGACCCCATATAGTGTAAATATTCTCGATCACAAGCGTCAGTAGCTCGTCATCTGTCTGTGTGCCTCAACGAAAATAAGATCAGACGAACATCTTGATTTGGGATCGAAGACAGAGTACGAGAACGAGGACAATGATATATGGGTAACTTACCCAGCAGCAGACTACAGAATGACAGAGCTGATAAAAACAATTTTCTGATTCTAAAACATGGGCTGAATCCTATTGCCATCGGGTGCCAAATAATTTTTTGTGTAAAACACACTTTTTATAATAAACAAGCAAAAGTCAGCAATTACAAATGGCACCTTGCCAAGCCAAAAACATAAAACAATCTTCAACTAAATTTATAATTATATATATAAAATACTTTTAGATGGAGTTGCTGCAAAATTTTTATGAGACCACTCTGGATGCTCTACGCGATGCCAAAAACGATCGCTTGTGGTTCAAAACTAACACTAAGCTGGGCAAGCTGTACTTTGATCGCAGCGACTTTACCAAATTGCAAAAGATACTCAAACAGTTGCACTCGAGCTGCCAGACAGACGACGGCGAGGATGATCTAAAAAAGGGCACACAATTGCTGGAGATTTATGCATTGGAAATTCAAATGTACACTGTACAAAAGAACAACAAGAAGCTGAAAGCTCTCTACGAGCAATCGCTGCACATTAAATCAGCTATTCCACATCCTCTTATAATGGGCGTTATTCGCGAATGCGGCGGCAAAATGCATCTGCGTGAAGGTGAATTCGAGAAGGCGCACACAGACTTCTTTGAGGCCTTCAAGAACTACGATGAAAGCGGCTCGCCCAGACGCACCACCTGCCTTAAGTACTTGGTGCTAGCAAATATGTGGGTGAAATTGTATTAAATTGATTAAAACTGCATAATTTATATGATCTGTTTAACAGGCTTATGAAGTCCGGCATCAACCCGTTCGACTCGCAGGAGGCCAAGCCTTATAAGAACGATCCCGAGATTTTGGCCATGACAAATCTGGTTAATTCATACCAAAACAATGACATCAACGAGTTTGAGACTATATTGCGTCAACATCGCAGCAACATTATGGCTGATCAGTTTATACGCGAACACATTGAGGACTTACTGCGCAACATACGCACCCAAGTGCTCATTAAACTGATCAGACCCTACAAGAACATAGCCATACCGTTCATAGCCAATGCACTCAACATTGAGCCCGCCGAGGTGGAGAGCTTGCTGGTTTCCTGCATACTCGATGAGTACGTGACTTGTCAGCAGATCAGCTTAAGTCCTATCTAATATATTTAATTTTTCCTTTCAGCACCATCAAGGGACGCATCGATCAGGTGAATCAAGTGCTGCAGCTGGACAAGATTAATAGCAGTGCAGCCCGCTACAATGCGCTGGAGAAATGGTCCAACCAAATCCAATCGCTGCAGTTTGCAGTAGTACAGAAAATGGCTTAGGCATAAGGCAATGATTAAAACCTAATTGAAATTATGAAAATATTTTAAACGCAGTCTGCTTATTTAAACCGTCGAAAGTTGAGAGCTATTGAGCATTAAATGTGACAAAAGTTAGGTAGCGTATCAAACCATATCTATATATATATACATACTTATATATGGTAAGGGCTTTCCGTATAATTTGTGATAAGCGCTGGTACTTGTACCATAAATGTAATTGTTGCAGTACAAGCGATAAGCCACAGTATATTTCCACAACCAACATGGGAATATTCCAAATATTCAATCACTTAAAGAGACCGCTTCATAAAGAACAGAGTGTTATAAATAATTATGAAGTGGAGGATGCCCATTTCTATGCACCTGAGTCTATTTTAATGACCAAACTTTTTTATATTCTACCAAAAAATATAATTGGAAATTCCATTGACGAAGCAAAAAGAAATGCCTGAGCATGTTTTGATAAAATTTCAATAGGTATCAGAGAATAAGTTTTTATTTTTTATGGTCTTCGCGATAAAGAAAACAAATTTGCAATTCAGAACATTGAATTACCCATACTTCGATATTTACGAATTTTAGAGATCAAGAAAGTAAAACTAATCTAGTTGAGACAGTGGAAAAGAAAAATCTCTACAAAATTTGGAAATATAGAAGAGTTGCTTTCTAATTTTTATTTAAAAATAATATTAAACTGAATGTTAACTATCTCGTTTTAGGAACGAAATTCATATTTTTTATTTCAATAAGTTCTTTTATTAAAAAAAATCTTTAACAGGAACACAAATAACTTAGAGCTTATGAGGTTTAGGTTTTGATAAGTGGCCACAACTCAACAGAGTGACACTATACTGTATATAATTCTTAAGATACAGACTTGTTGTGAATTCTGCTGAATAGCATGAGTCGCAAAAAATAATTATGAATTTCAGTTAATATGGAAGAATACACAACACCTCAGAAGAATAAAAAATTCAGACTCAATTTATTATTTAAACGGTTTGAGCAGTTACCGTAGGAATAGCCACTCGTGTTTCCATTTCTTCCGAGTTTTCCTTCTTTCCGCAGCGCTCGTACATCCACAATCTTAGTCTATAGATCCAGAAAATTAATACACAAAAGATCAGCGCTAAAACGATGCAGCCACAAACGCTGCCAATGGCCAAACCCGGCCTCTCCCAGTCCAGAATAAAGTATATAAACCGATTACCAAAGCTGCAAATTTGTAATAAATAATAATAATAAATAAAAAGGCAATTGCCCGTAATAATTGCTCACAAGTCTACGCCGCCTGCCCAGAAGTAGATTAGCGAGAACAGGCCATAGATGAGGCCCACAGCAAGTGGATATACAAAGTGCATCAGGCGCGTGGGAAAAGCCACAATAAAACAATCGAAAAGCATGCAAACGGAATTAAACGCATGCGCCCAGAGATTGTATAGTCCAATGGGCCCACCAGCCATGCCTAAAGAAGGTTTTTTTCTTGTTGTAATATAATTATTTCAGTTTCTTAGTCCTAAGAAGTGCGACTCACTGGGATACAGCGCTGCCCAAAACACCAAAGTTATTATCATGGCCAGAACGGTGGTCGTATAGTGCGAGCACCAGTAAATCTTGAGTGCCCAGCTACCAGATTCTGAAAATAGGCCATGTGCCAAAATTGTTGTGAATCGGTATGAGAATGATTTGTATTAATAATGTGAGAACTGTTTGTGTGAAAGTTAAATGTGATGTTCGAATCATGGCCTGATTCACTGAGTTAAAACACAGTAAAATGTTCACTTTGGAAATTAAGGACTTATGAGTTAAGCAGAGAATATGAATCGTTTTTTATATTAAGTTAACAGGGACTTCTACTCCAAAGCAAAATTAGAAGATAGTGAAGAAAAGAATGTTTAGTAATACTGCTTGAGGAGGGCTTAAATCCTTAATTGCTTCCCTGAAACCGCGAACAAAATGATGGGGAGGGAGTTATAGATGTATTTTAAAATATTGAAAAATAAAAAGGAAGAAAGGGAGTTTCACACATCACTTCTTACCAAAGTAGCTGGGCCTTATAAAGTATATGGTGGCTATTACGGCGCCATAGGCGCAGGCATAGAAACACAAAGTGAAGCCCCAATCGGTCAGATAGATGAACCACGTGCCGTCTTTAAATTCCTGCACTAGGCTGCTAATGACACCGCCCGCAAAGAAGGCGGCCAGAAGCCAACGATAGATCAGCCAGATGAAGCAGCGTTCGCCTCGTTGCCACTGGGAGCGACAAAAGTCCGCAGGCTCATCGTGGTGCAGTGAAAATTTGGAGCACTTGAACTCATCCAGCAGTGGCTGGCAACAGCATTGCCCGCTTGGATCGCGCATGCCGGCTGGATGAACTCGATGTCTACGAAGCTGGACAAACGCTGTTAGGGCCGTCCAGAGCAGCTGGCTAGATTGTTGGTAGAATGCGAACTGACGCAGCCAGGGCCAGAGTCGGCCCAGCAGAGCTGACAGTTTGGCATTATTTCCGAAAATCGCTGAAGTTGAATGGCAATTTGAGTGCTGAACTTATCAGGCCACGATCCTTATCGCCAGATATGTTTAGCTGGAAAGTACTTCCAATGTATATGTCTATCAGATAAGTCACGGTACAAAAAGCCAATAAGCATTTAACCGCTGTTATTAATGTTGTCCAGAACCGAACTAACTTGGCCAACAACTCGGCACCAGCAGCAGCAGCAGCAGTTACCAATGCGAAACAGGCCTGAAAAATTTCCCACGATTTTCCAGTACCAATCGCGCAAAAGTGACACGCGCAAAATTTGCTTTGAATTTTTAAACAACAATTTGGGAACTTTTGCACATGATTCATGCAAACAATAAAACTATTATAAATAAACATTGGCTGACTCTGTCGTGTAAATACAGCCCTAATGATAAGAAGGCGCGATCATTCCAAAAACAAAATATCACCGATTTCATTCAAACTGAAATCAATCGCACACGCTATCAATTTATCATTTGAAAGTTAACAAACATTTAATCAAAATCGTAATTGCGTAGCGTAGCATGTTACGGATCGAACGTGTGCCTAGGCACTTCAATATTGGACCTTGAATTTAGGTGTTGAATGGATTTCCTATGGAACGCGACTACAAACAAACATTGCCCACACTCTGTTAACTGAGGCCAACAATGTGGCACTTGGGATCCCTCTACATTATAGATAAACTAAATTACGCGCTCTATTCTGTTAGTCATGATAATAAAAAGAATATAATCACAGTTTGATGGTCATGCGTTGAAAATAAAACTTAAGAAACATGAGATAAATGCTGAAAAAATTAACAGAATAAGACTTATGAACAACTAAAAAATATCTAGAGAAAATATTTATGAAAAATTTACTTTTAGGAAAATTGGTTTATATCTTTTCAAATATGAATTATTGTTCAAAAATATATATGCTATTTCTTATAGATATATATAATGTCTTGAATACTAAATATTATCATATTAAAAAAATAATAATTAAATAATTATATAAAACAACAAAAAATATATGATTGTTTATAGACAGTTTTAATAAATACATTATTTCGGGAAAAATTATTATTGACTGCATATTAAAATACTAATAAAATAATATAAAACAATAAATAACAATAATAATGTTATTGATTCCCTATCATTGATATCATTGATTACTTATTAAAATAATAAAAATAATAATAAAACAATAAATAATAATAATACAATTGTCATTGATTGCATATTAAAATAAGAATAAATAAATAAAATTAAAAATATAAGTGATTACCTATTAAAATAATAATAATAAATAAATAATCAAATTTAATAAATACAATTTTTTTTTTAATGTGATATAAATTATATTTTATGAGTTAAATATAATTATAACTATAAATTATAAACTTTCTTTGGCGAAAATCAATACATATTCCCAAAAAATTCAGGAAAATAAAAATATTAGCTCAGCCCAGGATATGAAAATAGTAAAGTCTTTTAAAAGTTGATTGTTGTTCTGATGATCAGCATAATTTGTAGCAGACTACTCAGACAAGCCTAAAACAATTTGTCACGCAAATCTAAGCTTGAAATCAAAAATTTGCCTCGAATCTATTGCAGCTGACATGCAATATTATTATATTATCAATTCTATTTTCCAGCAAATATGTGAATAACACTCACACTTTGCAAGTGGAATTGCAATGCTAGCAAGTGTTTGTAGCATCATTTAGAAGTGTTGCAAAGTGCTGGGGGTCCGGGTCTTCGTCCGGGGATCGTGTAAATTGGCAACAAATTGAATTAAATTTATGCAATAAAGAAACAATAAAAATCTGTGACTGTATATTTACAAGAAATGTCGACACTTTCGATTTTCAGAGTGTAATTTATCAATTTTTAGAATCTTTGCTCAAGTCAATGGCAAGGTCAACTTGGGGGAGATCTGAAACAAAAACCAAATGCAAATTTCTGGCACGTTTGTGTGCGTCTTCAAATTGTATGATATCTGGTAAAAATATGTACATAGTTGATATATTTGCACAATTTGAGTGGAATTGAAACACAAACCAATTTGTAAGCGATGCTATATTTATTAAGCTGACCGTCAAGTGATCGAGTTACGTTGGCAAATTGAAATATCACCCCATTCATAAATGGGTGGGGAAATAGTTATTTTACTGCATAATTTCAATGCGAAAAAAATCTCAATAAAAATTAACAAAATGTTTAATATTTTATGTCTCCAACTAAAAACATATACGAATTTTTCATACATTGTTTTTATAACTAAGTAGTTCTGTTATCTGAGGCTTGTCTAGGTACAACATTTACTGGGACTTTGTACTATATAAATGACGCTCAAATTAGATTATTTGTACATAAAAATACAAAAAAGAGCTTTCTTTTTGATATACTTTCCCACTTATCGCCCAGTCGATAAGACAAATGTAGGTCGAACCTATGAAATTCTGGGCTGAAAAGTTTTCAATGCTTTATCATCCCCGTGAAATTGCGACTCCCACACACAGTATTTGAAATACAGACAATTGGGAGAGCTCACAGCTTTAATTGATCGACCTCCATGGCTCCAAGTTCAGTAAAGTCAGCGGCCTCCGACATATGCTGACAAATATTGCTGCTGTCAATATCATTGATATCATATCATTCGGAATGCTTCCCACAGCATCATGTTTTGGACGGAGCATTTAACAGAATGACGACTCTGTTATTTGACACCCGATGTGTGTACTCGAATATTTCACATTTATGACATGCGTTTAATTAAATTACTTAGTTTAATATATATTGTTATACTCTGTACATTTTTGATGAAATGGCTATGCAGACGGTATTCGTATTCATAAAAATGGTTAATTTTTGCTTTTCCTATTTGATTTAAAAATGCAGAAATTAAGACCCGATGTGGAGTTTTATATTAGCATAGAAAATGCAACTACATCAATTCCTGCAGACAACATATGTAGATAGATTTTAGTTTAATAATAATTAATAAAATTGGCTCCTTATTCCAGTTGAAATAAAAATTATAAATTGAAGCACTTATTAAAATAAATATGAAAATGGTGTTCATAATGTAATGTAACTCAACAAATATCACTAACTAGCTATAATATAATGTAATCTAATATATTGCACACAACATTAAATATAATTTATTTTAATTGTTGTAATGCTATGCATCACATTATGCTATAATCCATAATTTATTTGTTAATTTGACTTTCAATATCGGTTATCAACTACCTTACACTTATTGCTTACCCAATACTCTTATTCTAATAATTCAAAAATAACAAGTAACATTTAATTATTTTAAATATAATATATATATAAATATATATTGACGAGTGCTGTAATCCTAATGAACGTCAAATGAGTTTCTGCTTTAAGCCGGACTCGAAAGGGTATATAAATTGTGATATTAATATTCGACTTGTCCGTCGACCGATCGGTATATGGCTTCGTATATAAAGAGCACGAAGCCTGCGCCTAGTGCTTGTCGTATATTTGCAGTGAGCGCGCTTCTAATCGGTTCGCCGGGTTCGGTCAGCCAGAAGTGTGGGTCTTCGAAAGGGTAAAAGCATTCTACTGCTTTCAGTCCGCTTTGCCTCGTCGTGTTGTGCACGAGTGCGCGTTCCCAGTGAAGCAGCTACCCAAAACGAACACGAAACCGATTCCGTCCAAGTGTTGGCTCAGCGCTTTATTTTTCAAGATCACTGAGAACATTGCATGTTCCATAGTCTCGTGTGTGTGGCTGGTTTGGCGCGTTTACATAAATCACCAAGCTGAATAAAGCTGAAATTTTGTTTGTGTAAAGTTGCCCAACTGTGGCGTCCACACAGGAAAAAGCTCCACGTTTGCGGGTCGGTAGTGATTCAGACCAATTCCACACTCACTTGCATTACGATCGCTTAAAATGCAATTTCTTAAAAGGCTGCGGAAGGGTGTCAACAAAGAATTGCAAAAGCAAAATTTCGGCTTTGAATGCAGTCACGTGCATCTCTTCTACAAATCTCTGGTGAGTGTTTAAGCTGGCACAAACCGAAATTTTTAAAGAGATTTAGAGTTCAAATCAAAGTTGAAAAACCTTTGCACTTAGTTTACTCTAAGCTCTAGGTGAGATCATTTACCTAGTCGCGTGGAGTTTTAGTGTGCACACGTAAGGGCTATTAACGCATTAAGTAATACTAACCGTGTACAAATAACGTGTGTACGATCAGTCGAAACCATTCAACGAATGTTGTATACCCTAACAAAACCGAAGAGATTTTTTTTTCACAGCAATTAATATACAATATTAAATAGATTTATTTTGATAGTCTAGCTGCATATATCATACAACTTTTTCTTAATTTTAATTTATAATTTTTATTGTTTTTAAAATGTTATTAAACATCCCTAACAAACACATATATTTATGAAGTTTATTTGGGTCTGTTTAATGTCTTCTTTATTTAGCTAATGATGTTCTTGTTTGTGCAAACCTAATTTACAAATACCGATGCTTATTTTATATAATTAAAATGTTACTTATTTTGAAACCCCAAAAAAAAGCTATCCACGCCTGTATAATTAATGAGCTGTTTATATAAAGCATTCTCATGAAAATTAGAATATCCAATGTGAATAGCTTGCAATTTACATTAACTTAAGAATACCTGGTATTTTAGACAAATGACACCGAAAATAAGTACAACAGATAACCGAATAGGTCTCATAACATATTACAAAGTCGTCGTATATCATCAATGATTATATGACACAACACGATAACAGTTTACAGTAACAGCACCTGCATATCTAAAAATTCCGGAAATATCGCACCATATTTTGACACCCGCATGACTTTGCAACTGTAAAAAATTTTCGCAATTAGAGAAAAGCAAAAAATGTTTAACATATTTGCTTTTAATTTAGAT